TTCTGACGGGGAGGACCGGAAGGTGGAGGAGGTGGAGGAGGAGCAAAATCCCCTCCAGGTGGTGGCGGAGGAGGTGGTGGACCAAATCCTGCAGGAGGTGGCGGCGGAGGAGGTGGAGGCCCACCACCTGGGCTTACTTTCGGGCCAGAGGCAGAGCTGGGTCCCGACTTTGGAGAGGCCCTTTGTGAGGGCGAAGCTTTTGGTGATGGGGACGCTTTCGGCTCTTTCGATGCGGATTCTGTTGGAGGAGGAATCTGAAAAAAAGAGAAATTGTTCGAATGGTAAGCCCAAAACATGATATTCCTCTAGAAATCCGGTTATCGTCATTAAAATAATGTCTTAATGCTTTGTAGATATTCCGCGCATTCACACTCAGTAGGATAGTAATTATTATTGACGCATAGGTTAAGAACGAACGGTGGCCTATTTTTGGGAACAATTAGGAAGAGAATAGTCGCAAACTTCCGCGAAGGACATTGAGTTGGCGTGGTATCTATTGCGCACTTGACATCCTGTCTGCCAAAAGAAACGACTATTATCCGGATCAATCCGCTTCCAAATTAGCATCGTCTTTTCAAAGTGTAGGAAGTTGGAAGTTGAACAAACTGGATATTTGCTCTGAAAGAGTCGCACCTGTATTTCAGGGATAGGAGCTGCTTGAGGACCTGGCGCTCGTTTTGTAGGAGCGATTTGATCTGCATCTTCTCCTTCTGCTAGAATTACCGGCTTCGACTTGTCAATTGTCTTCGTCGGCCGAAGTTTGAAACCTTGTTTGATTTCCTAAAATAGGAAACTACGGTGATAAATAGAATTATATTATTTAAGAACCGCTTTCCATCATGTTCACTGAATTCTTCGAATTATAGGAAATAAAGGAGTCTTTTTATTTTAGCAAAACTACGAGTAATCCAAACTATGCAGAATTTTGCAAAGAGCATACTTGTTGTAGGTTCATTTTGTTTAATCAAATTATAAATATATCTAGAGGGTAAGTATTTTTATTAATTTCACTATATTATTTACACTTTTTAATCTAAAAATTTAAAAGATAAAATTACCAAGTTTTCAGATCCCCTTCATAAAATTTTTCAAATATCGTATGGAGCAGCAATAAGCAGTTTATATCACT